TTGGAATCCCCAAGAGACATGACAAATGGCCAAAGCAATATTTGCCCAGTGTTCACTTCTCCCCCTCCCTAATATCCTCTTTAACCCTGTCCTTGCAAAAAACCACCTTCCCTGTCAGAGGACCACTGTTCCATATCTAATGTTTAGTTGCTCAGACGAGCACAGATTAGCGGCCCCGAAATACACGGTTTTCAATGTTACTCGGTTATCGTTAGTTTTCCAGCCTACTACGGAGTTCGGGGCATTATGATAGGCCTGAATACTTTATTATCATATTGTATCTTTAATGTAAGGAGAATCTTTTGCGTATTGTAGAATATTTTAATTTTAACAATAATTTAGTATTATTTGTTGTATTTTATGTGTATAATATTGTTATTATGAATTTTTATTAATTGGAGGATTTCGTTGAAAAATATATTAAATAATTTGGCTTTCTTGAGATTCAATTAATATCAACCAAGTTCTTAATGTACTAAAAATAATTATACATAAATATAATTTTTTCAGTTAAGATAATATAATATGACCTTTAAATTGATGTTATAAATATGACAGACTAATATTACTAATTAACTTATATTCGTGCAAAATATTTTTTATGGAAATTTGTATGTATTTGAATCAGTAATAAAGAAACGTTAATAATAACTGTGTCAAGTTTTGTATTTTATACATTTTTTTTATGAATCTGAATTCAATATATGGTTTATTTATTTGGAATGCATACGAGGTCTAATAATAATATGCTTACTAGCTTAATCGATTTACAATGAATTTTGTTTTTAGTCATTTTTAATCTCTATAATAATAATAACGAAGAATTTAATGGACTCTACAACATTCCTTTGGAGTTTACCATGGGTTTTTGGCCAGAAGATCAAAAGTCGCCAACGGGAAAATTATTTGCGAAAAGAAGTCTTCGGAAATACGCCGTTTTCACTGTTCCCTTACAGAGGCTGATTTATGAGTAGGTCCCTAGTGGGAATTCCACATATAAAGGTTTGGCCCCCAAAGTCCAATTTTTAACGCCAAAAGACCGAAAAACATGGTAAACTTCACAACAATACCTTTGGTTGTGATTTTTATTATTATTTAACTCCAATGCATATTTTTCTTAGATTCAAATAAAATAGTAAAATATTTTACAGCAAGGCCATTATTATTCTTGATAGCATATTTTCTGAATAATTATATTTTCATTTAATATACATTTATATTATTTTTACATTTTACGGGTGTTTGTATGTAAATACCTACCTTTAATTTAATATATAATATAAAATTCAAAAGTATATTGTTATTAATGAAATCTAAAAATTGTGGCCAAAATCGTTGTCAATTGTTATCTTGATTTTTAAGGTAAGTTACAAAATTAAAGAAAAAAATATAAAACTTCAAAATATTTTTTCTTTTAAATTATAACGATTACATTGTTATTAAGAAGAATATTGAATAAAATAAAAATAAACGTAAACCTAAACTAAATGATAGAATAAATGCAATTTTTGTTGAATACGCGTATTATTTATTTAATTTACATCAAGTCATTTTATAACTGAAATCAAAACAATATCTCTGTTATGCAAAATAACTTGATATTTTACTTTTACTCTGATTCGTTGCATTGTTAAAGGTTTTAATAGCACCAATGAGCAATGACACAATTCTAAGAGTGGTTCTCTACAGTTAAATATATAATAAATATTCAAATATCAAATTGTAATGTTATGTTTTGAAAGTGTCGCATATATCAAAGCCATTCCTGTTACTAATTAACACACTTCGATGCGGCGGAGGGTGAGTGCGATCGTTTCAATATCATTACAAACAACTGGTGACGATAATACGTATTCTAGACACAGTTGGACCATGGTCTTGGTGGTGCATTTACTTTGACTTCGACTTGTCCTGATCGGCGTTGACGCTCTACAATAATGATTATATATGTTTATGGGCGTGTGTAGTACGTGACCAAAGAAGTTTTGGTTGGGACTGTAGACCGTTTTCGAGTTGGAATGTTTCGATAAAATATAACAAAACAAGATTTTTGAATGTACATAACTGCGTTTGTTTTAATCCTCATACCACGTTTAAGTGCGATTATCTGGGTCCTCTCAATTATTATTGTCGATACATTTCTATGTGGACGAATGGATCGATCGGATGGAGTTGCGTACTTATAGTTTACTTAATTCGGATAGAAAATATTACTTGTCTATTTGAAAGTCTAATAACTGAATAATTTGATGACATATTTATTTTATAAAATAACCATTTCAAAAATATTTCCTACGAAATTAATATAGGCACTTGGTTTTGGATAAGAAACAAATAAGTAACCAATAGACCAGCGTCTTGTGACAAATAAAATATTATTATACAACTGTGTAAGTTTATGTCACTATACTTTGATTAAAATCTTTAAAATAAAGTATTCAGAGACTTAGCTGCATCCCTTTATGGTATACGGTAAAACGTTAATCTTTGTAATTGATGCATAAATACATTATTTTTATTTATGTCAGACATTTTTTAGTATGTTTGTATATAAAATTATCACCATTGTTATTTTAAAATACATTTAACAATGTAAATTAAAAATAAACGTTTAAACATACCTAAGTAGACAATATTATAAAATAATAAATCCAGGCATGGCAGATACCTACGTGTGCCCAATCAAAAATTCTGCCAAAACAAACACAAACGTACATAAAAACCTTCAAAACCTAAAACAGCTAATGGCCATAGTTGCCGGGCTTAAGATCAAAAAAAAAAAAAAAAAATAATAATTAATCTAGTTAAATTGTTTTGGTAATTAAAATTATTTTTTTTAGGATTATAGAAGTTATAAAATTTTTAATGAAGTTTCAACAGAATTTATTATACTTTAACCGATATTATAAATCAGAATAAAGATTATTTATGACAAGCACTAGGCAAAATAATTGAATGTGTAACTGCACATAGTTAAACAGATTTGAAACCGATAGGTATTGAAAATATAATTTAGAATTGAGATTAGCATACAATGATGACAAAAACGAGAAAGTACGAGGTTTGTATGAAGAGATGTGCAGTTTTTTTTTAAATTGAGTTAATTGAAGGAGAAGGCTGAACAATTAATAAACAAAGTATGGAAGTCACACGACACATGTATATTTAGTACCTATCTATTTACATAAAGTAGTTTGTTGAAACATTTAAACAAAATACCTACTTAATGAAAAAGAATATTTAAAGCTGTAAATAAGTATTTATTTGTTAAGTTCATGTTTGTCTAAAAATGAACATATTAAAATGTAACTTTTTGTATGTAAAATCTACGATGCCTAAAATATTGACAAGAGCGATTGTAAACTATGTATAAGTAATATATTTTATTCATGAATATGAATATTATTATACATCTACTTAGTGTAATAGTCCCAAGATCTACCTTTGGGTACCAGTTAATGCGATTCTGTCCGCTCTAATGGAAAAGTTACTCAGCCGATATACATACATCTAAATAAATGGCTTGGAAGTAGTTTGAAAATAGTAACTCTTTCAAACTAAAATTCAAACATCTATCATTTTGTAATCGTTAAATGTATACAAATATTCTTAATAATATTGCATTTAGAAAATTCTGTACATGGTGCATATTTTTATTGTTGATAATTTCTATTAATTCATTGAACTATTTTTTAAAATCTAAAGCTATTATAAATTTTAAATGTTGTGCTTACTATTTTAACTTGAATTAAGGGCGTCGGAGCCGGTGCGTTTTTTGGTACAAAAACATGTGTTATAGAAAAAACTCTCACTCCTGTAGAATAGTCAGATTTCGACTTGGTTTTTATTTAAAAGGAGAACATTTTGCAGGTCAGATACAAGCCTGGTTTTCAAAATCATAATTATAAATGCTCAAATAGTCTAAGAGTAGAAATCTACAAGCTATATAAAGGAACTAGATGAACTATTGGGTTAAGTGTCTTTCATGAATATGAAAATAATGATAAATCTTACTTTGGAAAATGATTCAGAGCAGTTATTGATTTAAACAAAGATGTTAAATATTAGCACTTTGTTGATTCTTACGTTTTTAAATTATTTTTTATTCTGTTGTTTCGTTTGAAAATGGCTGTATTTAAAATAAATCTGTGTTCAACTGTCAAATTCTGTAAGAGATAAAACTAACCATTTGATTACAGCTGTTGAGCTTTGTGGGAATTTTTACAGAAGCAATAATAGCACATTGTTCAGAAACACTCCGAGTGTAGTTAGAATTTAAACGAGATTAATGATCTTTTCTAGTAATATAAATAGTTAATGAAAATGTTAAGCTATTCTCAAAGAAAAGTACTATATTGTTCGTAAACAATTTATGTTAAATTATGTTACACCTTTTAAGCCCTTTTCTTGACCTTCTAAAAATATTTATTTTGGTTTATTATTTGAAATATAATAAAATAGACGATAATTTATCTGAAAATCCTAAAGTTAGAGCGAAAGACACGTACGCACAGTTGGGCCGACAGCTTGACGTGACATACCCAATTGCGTGCCAACAAGTATTTTATCCATGTTCGTCTTTCTGATTTTCTGCTGTTTTCATGTCCATGCTATGGTATTCAATGACATGTATTTCTTAGATAATAATCGTTTTGAGGCAAAATGATTAGATTAGGAGTACAAAAAAATAAAATCTTGATCAGAAAAATGTATTAAATAAATGAAATGCAATCAACATTTTCTAAAATAATTATGAAATTTTGAACATACTATTGTTTTATTTTTTTAATCAATGAAACAAAATAATATAATAAGGAAGTCTACTCAACATAACTTCTAATAGCCATTTTTAATGTTATTATTATTATTACACTCTAGGAGTCGCTATTATGTTGTGTAGAATTTCCAAATTACACTGCTCATCTACACGAATAATGATATATTGTATATATGCCTTCGACTAAAAGCTGTAATTCACATTCGTCGTGTGTCCAACATGTTCATTTCGATAACTTTACCGAACTTTCGAAACGATTCTCAACAGTTCTTCGACCGACTATGAGGCGTTGGCCTTCGCCGCCGCTTTTCCCTCTCATCGCATCCTCGCACGTGTAGGTGTACTCGATACAGTGATCTCTCGCGGTGCCGTCGAAACGTACTTTTTTGTTCGATGTCAGCGCTGCCACCGCCACGTAGGGACCGTAGCTTTTCTCTTGGAGCGATATATTTCTCTCGGCGAACCGCGTATTGCCCGGGCGGGCTTGGCCGGGGGCGGGTGGGAATAACGGAAATAAAACAAATTGCCCCCCATGTGCCGTTTGTCTTTTAAAACGCTCCGGTGGCTCTCGACCACATATCTGTCTTATCATTGCGCGATTCCTTTCCGCCACGTCCGCGTGCCGCAGAAAAAAAGCTGTCCCCGCCGCGCCTTCGTCTGCCGCATTTCCTTCGTTAACGGCGTTTCGCGTTTTAGTGGATTACCGCCGCCGCCGCCGAAACCGAGCCACGCGCTCCGCTGCAGCACACCGCCCGCGAAACGTTCCTTATTCCGTATAATAATATATGTTCGTTGGAACCCTACCAAAAGCCGACGACTCGTATAGGGCGTTTGCTGCGTATATATATATATGTACAGGCGGTACTCTGCGCCCGGATGACGCGCGTTGTTCGCGATGACAAACCGACGAGGACTTATGGACTACGCAGGAAACATACGGTTTTTTTTTTTGAAGAACGGTACACACCTAGCCGTCATTGAATCCGTCCGTATACCGATTATGTAGAAAAAAAACCATACACTTTAGACTGCAACATTGATAGTTTACCGAATTGCTTATTGAAACAATTAATTTAAAACCAAAGTCGTGTTGTTAAATTTGTTAATGTATATTTATGTCTGATTTATTTAAAATACCAATACCGTGATTTATTACATTATATACGGTTACAGTTTCGCTCACGAAAAGTGTGCAATTATTATATTATATACCTACTAGATATAGGTATTGATTATCAAAATCAATTGGCGGTTTTTTTTTAAATTGTTGAATGTAGGTACGCAATTTATTACTTCGTCTCACGCACTATACGTTGTCGACAAATATTAAATTAAATTTAAGACTAGGTTAGGTAGATTATATAGTATGAACGGTATTAGGAGTTGATAGCCTTTAGAATCAGTAAACAAAATCAGTGGAATCTAAAGCTCATCTTATAATAATCTATGTGGGACTGAATCCATTGTAGCAAAAATTACAGGTAAAAATATGTGAGTAAAATTTTAATGAAATGTGCCACAAAACAATTTTAAAATGTATGAATCGATATCCTATATTTATTTAACATAGTGTAATTTTTCCTAGTTTATTTGAATTTTTTGATTTTACCATTAATTACATACGTTTTGTCATTAAATAAAATGTGAAGTCCATAATTAATTTTATTAAATTTTTCCATTGCGCCGTCAATGCATATACCATTTTAATGTACTGGAGCACAAGACAAATATTATTCAAGTAATTAAAATATTCGGCGCAATTGCCCAACAATCATCGGCGTTACGCCCGTTGCGGTATTTACCGGAGAGGCGGTTCCAAACCAGCACCACTTTCGTCAACCACGTGTGTATTCACACGCAGAAACCAGAGTCATTTAAATACGCTGTTTTCACTATTCATCGTATGATAAAAAAAAATAATAATATAATTTGTTTAGTGGACAAATGCACATCCGCACTTGCCATTTCACAATGCGTAAACAACAGGTTTTCTTCACGGAATCTCTGATAGTATGAGATATTGAAAAAAATATTATGCTCTTTACATTTTTTGGACTAAAGTTTATTAAACTTACTCTGTGGTCTTATTTATAATAAGTGTACCTCTTATAAATGTTTATTTACTGTTCACCCAAAGCTAGAAAATAAACTGCCCCTCAGTAAATTTGTTGTTTCGTATTTTAGATTCTGAGAGGAGCGATGGATGTATAAAGTTCAACAATGTAGTGGGTTATTTTTAAAATTTATTAAACTCTTGTGTCCATCTTTAATTTTTGTAGCATACTATTTGACACATTCATTACAGTGACCTACTTAATGACGAGTACACTCAAATACTATAATACATCAGAGCGAGTTCCTCGGTTTTCATAAATAGTTTTAAAACAAACTAATTAAAGAAAAATTTAAACTTTGCTGGCGATACACTTTAAATAATATGTAGTGACCTCAATTCGTAGTTAGTCTAAAATCTAAGTGATTGACATCAGTAAATTCGGCATTGAACCCATTAGCAATACTAATGGTTTAGCAGTATTTTGACTTATTGAGTGGGTAAGTATATATTCTGTACATGAACCATTTTTAATAAACATACTAACATAGTAAACTAAAAAGTTACCAACAAAATTTTATTATTTTAAAATTGTATATATTACTTGTTATTAGAAATTATTTCCGTTAAATAAATTATTATTATTATTAAAACTTTACTGTTGGACCTTCCGTAAATATAGTGACTTATTTCTTTACTATTTGGTTAGACGGAAACACCGCTTCGGGGGCACTTTTGTAGGGGTGGCTCTTTTTTATACGTCAGGGTTTATTTATTAAACATTTGTATCAACAATTTAAATTGTAAAATGCAATCTAGATTCTGGAATCTCAGCTCTAGTTATCTTTATACATTTATTGATTTATTCAAACATAGTGAACTGAAAAGAGGGCGCCTCACAGATATAATATATTTTTAACATTTAATATGAATATCTACTCAAGTCATAAAATGACGCAATAGTAGAACCTGTCATCTCCGGCTATTTTAAGCGTAGCGTAGTAAAATTTAGAGTATTAGGCTGAGCAGATTGTAATGGCGGTTGTAATTATATTTTCCCTGACTTCTAAAAATATTTTTTAATTTTTTAACTAAAAAAATATTACAATTTGTATACAATTTATTTTTTACAGGGTTTTATTATTTACCTGTGAGGGGTTTATTTTTATTTAAAATGTAATAAAATGTATTTTAAATTATAATATGATATCCCTTACTTGACATTTAATTTTATCTGATTTAATAAAAACTTTGGTTTTGTGTATAATAATATCAGATAGTTAAAATTTTAGTTTTAGTTTACTTTAGAAATTGTATGAGTTATATTTCATAGTTTAAAATGTATACAGTTCAGTATAACTGTATATCCATACAGTAGTCACTGCTTATTCCGGACAAATCGGACAGAAAAGTTTTATCCGGCTTTAGTGAAATTCAGCGAAATCCAGATTAAGCTATGTGTTTTTAGAGATAATGTTTGATTCGGCTCTGGGAATTTTGTCCATAATATGCGGTGATCCAGCTTACCCAGTAGACTGATAAACGGCGACTATTATTGCTCAGATAGAGATGTTTTGGAAATAAACACTAATTATTTAGAGTAATTAAATATGTATCAATCTGTTTCTTAAAAAATAATGTCATATCGTACTTATAATTGTTTTCATCGGAGATTTATTTATGTAGATTTAGATATTATTGTAACTATACTGAATTATTCGTATAAATCATCCTTGAAGAAATTCGATAACTAGGCGGTAAGCAAATATCAATACATTCACTTTATTTTTAGGCTTATAAAATTGATGGTTAAAGTTGTTCACGTTAGAAATCCTTTTTACTTATCTGCAATAGAAACTACTAGATATATTTAGTGAGTTAGAACGAAAGTAGTTACATTTTATAGTTGGTTTGGGAACATTAAAATAAAATGTGTAGCTTGGTTTAATTTACGTGAAAGATAACTTGAATAAAACATACGTTTAATATCACGGGGAAGCCTAAACACATCTTTATACAATTATATTATATTTGAGTTTTCAACATTTAGTTATTACACCTCTACAGCAAAGTAAAGTACTTGGTGCTAAATATTAAAAGAGAACATTTAAACAAAACATGAAATATAATATAGTAGGTAGGCACCACAAGTGTATAATTGTATTATGCATATTGTTTATATTTTTGAGTTCTATTGGTTTACCTTAAATGTTCTTTTGCTTTAAAAACCAAAGGTTTTCTTCGCACCATTTTTGGCCTGCGTTTTAATATTAACAATATCTGCTCAGCTACTACTGAGGGACTCTGTTGGCATAAATTTTACTGTCGATTTGATTCAAAATCTGGTCGAATAGGGTTAAATTCGGGGGAGTGGGTTGTGAGGGGTAGCGGAAAGTCCTAGGCTAACCATAATAGACGAACATGGAAGGAAGTATTTACACGGAGTTCGATAATTTGTTCAGAGACCAGAGAGAAATTCAATTTCTGGACCTTCCCAGGCATTAATAGTAACAAGTGTGCAAGAGATTTGATCCCCGACTTTATTTTACTAGGTCGAAACTCGAATGCTGCAAACATCTGTGAGTGTAAAAGCATTTATGTCTCAATAAACCTGCCAGTGTGTTTATTCTAATTCACCATTGATTCAATTATTTTAATTTGTGTGAATTTAATTGCTGTAGTGGAGAAATTACCATGTGCGTGAGAAGTGAAAATCTTTGCATTAAAATTACACATTTATATAACTTAGTTTCGGTGGAACTGAATTTTAAATATAAGATAATATATTCACTAGCCAGGTGGTATTTTGCATAACATACCTACTGACTAATAATTAATTTTCATCGAACATTTTTATTTGATAGAGAAATTGGTGTATGAGGGTTAATTTTGGGTTCATCATTAACTAAAAAGTGAAGAGAACAAAAATATAATTTTCTAATAATGTAATTATTGTAATAAGTATTGTCATTTATTGTTATAAAAATAAAAATCTTATCAGATATAAAATTAAACAATCTGTATATTGCTCTATAGTTTATGATTATTCTACATTTTTTGTTGATAATATCACGAAATATGGTTAATTTGCTCACACATTTTCAAATGATTTTAGTTTTTGTAGTGAATTGAAAAATTTAAGTAATATGTACATTATATAAAATATATATTATATTCAGGTAAGTTAATTTAGTGTGTTCAGTGTGACGAATACGTACATAGTAGGTATACAAGTGGGAAAAGAGTAAGTTTTTTCTTTTCAACTTCCTAGGTTCACGATGTACCATTCGTGTTTGCAGAATACCGAACCCTAGTCATAAATCTAGTCCCAAGGGAAGAGGTGTGGATGGCACCAGAGGTGCAAGCTAGAGTCGCTAAAAATATTTCAGAAATCCGGACAGTATGCAAAAAATGTTGGGTCAGCCATTTAATCACGCGGGTAAGCCGAAGCAACGTAGTTGGTGCCTATATATAGGAAGCTGAATATTTATTACATGTCCCTTTACCACCTCCACTATTCCACACGCCAAGTTTACAAT